CCTGAGGACCCCTCACCGGAGTTAACCTCCAGCTCTCGACAGCCAACACCTCCGGGCCAGCCCGGGCTGGGAACACGCTGTGCTCAGAACCTGCTACGCCTAAGTCCCTGGGGACAACTCTCCGGGGGAACAGCTCACAGCCCCGGCCCGGGACACCACGGAGCGCCGGTGCTTCAACGCGTGTGGGGCGAGCATCGCCTCCCGCGTATGCGCGGCACCGACAGCCCCCACCGCCCTCAGCACACCCCGCCAGACCCTCCAGAACCGCGCCAGCGCCCATACCGGCACCCCCGCGCTGGCTCCTCATCCACAGACACCGCCCCGGGGACCCCGGCCCCGCGGGACCGACCTACTGTCCCGGACAGGGCGAACCCCGGCCCCGGGCCCCGCCGCCCGCCCGCACGTACCCGCCGGGACAGCGCCCCGTCCCGTGCCATGCCCCGCGCCGCTCCCGCCGCCGGGCGCGCTCCGCCGCCCGCCCCGGCCGCCCCTTCCGCACGGCCGGGCCCGCCCAGCGCCGGGGGCGGGGGGCGGAGGCGGGTCCCGCCTCAGAGAGCCCCCGGGCCGCCTCACGAGCCTGGGGCCGCCTCACTGCCGGTCCGCACCTCAGCCCCGCCTGCGGCTCTCCAACCATCGCGGACGGCGGGTTTTGCTTTGTTTTTCCCTCAGGAACGCCACCAACGCCCTTATAGAATCACAGAATCGTCAAGGCTGGAAGAGACCTCCGAGATCATCCAGTCCGACCATGCAGTCAGCACTGCCACTGTAACGCCTAAACCACATCAACCAGCGTCAGATCCAGACGCCTCTTGTACACCTCCACGAACCATGACTCCATTACCTACCTGGCAACTTATTCCAGTGCCTGGCCTCTCAAAACAGTGAAATATTTTTTCTAATAGGTAATCTGATTCTTCCCTGTCTTGCCTTAGGGCCTTTTCCTCCTGTCGTCTCACTGAAGGCACGGCAGAGACCGGCCCCACGTCACTACAGCCTCCTGTCAGGGAGTTGTGCAGAGCGATGAGGTCTCCCCAACCCGAGCCTTCTCAAAGCTAAACAAACCCAGCTCCCTCAGCTATTCCTCATGGGGCATGTTTTCTAGACCCTTCCCGAGCCTTGTTGGCCTTCTCTGGATATGCTACAGCCCCTCAATGTCCTTTTAGAGGTGAAGGGCCCGGAACTGAATGCAGTGCAGCCTCACCAATGCTGAATACAGGGGAGGAATAGTCCTACTGGCTACAATGCTCTTGATACAGGCCAGGATGCCATTTGTCTTCCTGGCCACACTGCTGGCTCATATCCAGCTGCTGTCAAACAGAGAGAGTCCCTTCCTGCTGATCAGCTCTCAAGGCATCCCTGCCCCAGGCTGGAGCTGCAGAGGCTGCTGTGACCCAAATGCAAGATGTGGCACTTGACCTTAGTGAACCTCACACTGTTGTCCTCAGCCCTTTGATCAAGACTGTCCAGGTCTCTCTGCAGAGCCTTCCCGCCCTTGAGCAGATCAACACTCCCAACCAACCTGGCACAGTCTGCAAATTTACTGAGGGTTGCTTCATCTCTTCCTCCAGACAGCTTCCAGCCCTCAGTGGCTGGAGGCCATCAGTAGCGCCCTCCGGCAAAGCAGCGTCCTCTGGAAAAAGGTACAAATTAAGAGGGAAAGAGCCCTGTTGGTGCAGCTGAAACAGAGAGGCAGCTGTAGCACCTCAGCACGGAGCAGGCCCTTCGTTGGCAGCTGTGTTGCTGCACTGCAGATCATGTTGCAATCATCAGACATGATCTAGGGGAGGAGATGCTCAGAGACACCTGGACACAGCTGCAGGTAAGCCATTATTCAGCGATAGTCAAGCCAACCTCATGGGGTCTTTCTCTAAGGGAGCTTTAGTCTTGTCTGGTTGCAGCAGCCCCTCCAGTTGCACACACAGGCCATCCTGCCACCTCACATGCCCTCACAGCTTACAAGGGCAGCTCAAAATCTCAGCTGGAACACATCAGATTTGTCTCTTGCACTCCAGTGTTTCTCTCTCTCCCTCACAAACACTGTCTCCCAGCACTTCTCCTTGTACCTCCCTTCTCAGCCATGCTATCCCTCCCCAAAAGTCAATTACAGATGCCTCCCTTTTGCTGTTCCTCTTCATTTTAGTAATGTGTGAATCATGCTAGAAACCTGTTAGTATACTCTAAAAACACTAGGAAGCACTTGACAGGAAAGTCTTAAAAGCTCTTCTCATTCCATTCTTAGAGATGAGGGAAGCAACTCTGTCATCCACAGCCCCTTCAGATGCCTTTTAGTCTTAATTTCTCTGCAGAGGTAAACTCCTTTCATGGTACTAAACTATCATAGTCAGCTTAGGAAGAAAACATTACTTACTGGTCAGTGCAAGTAGGCAACATCCAAAAGGGCAAATATCTCCTACCAAAGCAATCTACTGACCTGAACTTGCTTGTTGGGACTTTTCCCTCCTTGGCCTCACAGTTCCCTGGTCATTCATGCAGGACAGGAAGTGCACTTGGTCCTCTGCTGCAGGACTGGACATTCAGGCATGAGAAACATGCACAGGCAACTGGGGCAAGAGACTGGCTGCAAAACCCAATCCAAGGCCAAACATGGCTCAGTCATGCACTGGAAAAGAGCTGTGCTTCAGTCACATGGGTTTTCAAACAGTCTTGAAGGACTGAACAAAATTACAATAACATAGTTAAGCATTAACTTGCTGCCACCCTGTAAACAGCAGCATGGCTGATTCCCTTTGTGCTCTGAAAAGGTCAGAGCAGTTTTGCTCAGTGAACACTGAGTTAAATTAGGGATATTGAGATGCATCCTGAGTGGTGTACAAATACTAAAATACTAATAAAAGAAACCCAACTTTAGAGACTCTATTGTGCACCAGTTCACTTGGGATAAATGGCACAAAGAATATAAGAATTGAGCCCGAGCCAACAAACTCAGGAAATACAATATCAGCTTACCTTGCCTGGCTGGGGGTGAATTTGGGTGGGCAGGTATCTCAGGAAGTCCTTTGAGATGGTGTACCCTGGGTAAGGTGGTATCTTCAAGAGATTCATGGACCTTTTCTGTCTCTCACCCCCTTACTTTCAGGAAATCTGGGAGGTGGCAAATGCAGGAGGTTGCTGTTCTTCCCCAGAGAGTTGGAAAGCTTTCCCAGAAGAGGTGCTGGACTGATGAGTTCTTGCACTACTCCAGGTAGGTCTAAGCAAAGTTTGTAAAAGAGCCAAGTGCAACCGAAGTGCTGTGGTGTGCTCTTACCCCTTGGAGACTTGTGGGGTTTGGAAGCCAGAGGAATTTTCCCCTTCACTTCAGCTGGGCTTGGACGAGCCCCAAAGTACACAGAGTAATGCAACACTGTGAAATTATGAAATGTAGGAGACAACACTCATATTTTCTCAGTAATAAAACAAAGGCCATTATGTAATGCTTGCTACTATAGGAGAACAGGAATGTTTGCTTGGTTCCATGATTACAGGGGAAGCAGTAGTAAGTTAATGCTTAACTATGTCTTTGCAATTTTGTTCAATCCCAAGACTTAAAAAAACTCTGAACCAGTCTTGAAGTAGAAAAAGTCTGGAGTGGTTTTGCTACATGACAATACAAGGCCGCCCTACAATCCAATCCACTGCTCTTCCAAAGCAGGAAATCAGTGCTCTCCAAAGAGCCTGTCAGCCCGCAAGGAAAAAGGGGAGATGCCCGATTTCTCACCCCGCCTCATGCGCGCTTGCCCTGGTGATGTCACTGACTCTTCCTGTCCCTGTGTGCTACAAAGTGACAGAAGCCAGTGCCACTTTTTAGCATAGTGGCTATGCTAAAAACACGCCTGCCTGAGACTGAACTGGCCCCGACTCGATGTTTCATCAGCTCAAACGCCAGGTGGAAGCGTGCACAGGCACTGTTCGTGCTGCTCCATCACCACTTTGTGGTCTGTGAGCCACGCAGTGAGGGATAAGTACGGCTTGTGCTGCTCCCCACAGGGCTGGCCGAGGAGGTGCGGGCAGTGCCTGGCGAGCGCTGTGGTGCCGGGGGAGCCGGACAGCCCTCCTTGTGCAGCCTGGGTACCCCTGCAGGGGCTCCTGCCCCGCTGTACAACCCCACTCTGCGAGTGTGACGAGCCTTCCTGACCAGTTACAGCCCGTGGTGCTCATCGCTGTGCCAGTGTTACTGCCCAGAGTGAAGGTCCCAGTGGCCAGCTACAGAATCACAGAGTCAATCACTAAGGTTGGAAAAGACCTCTGAGATCATCGAGTTCAACCTGTGGCCGATCCCCACCTTGTCAACCAGACCAGGACACTGAGTGCCACGTGCAGTCTTTCTGTAAACACCTCCAGGCGTGGGGACTTCACCAGCTCCTTGAGCTGCCCATTTTCCAGTGTCTAATCACCGTTTACATGGAGGAATTCCTCCTGATGTCCAACCTAAGCCTCTCCTGGTGCAGCTTGAGGCCATGTCCTCCTGTCCTGTCCCATGTGTCCTGGGAGCAGAGTCCGACCTCCTCCTGGCTGCATCCTCCTGTCATAGGGAGCTGTGGAGAGCAGGAAGGTCCTCCCTGAGCCTCCTTTTCTCCAGGCTGAGGCCCCCCCCGCCCCAGCTCCCTCAGCTGCTCCTCTCAGACTGGTTACCCTTCCCCAGCTCCAGAACACCTCCAGGGACAGCGACTCCACCACCTCCCCGGGCAGCCCATTCCAATGCCTGGCCATCCTTTCTGTGAAGAACGGGCAAAGCTGTAAGGAATCATCGGACGTCACCGGGTCCGACCTCCCTGCTCGGGTAGGGCGGGAGGGGACCACCGGAGGTCACCGGGCAGAGTCCCTCAGAGCAGGGCTCTCGGGAGCCCGTCGGCAGCGGTGATGAAGGGGCGAGCCCAGGGCCCCATGCCCCCAGCCCGTCGTGTCCCCCCCACGGCGCAGGCGCGGCGGTGACGCAAAGGGGCGCGGGGAGGTGACGCAAGGCGCGCGCGGCGGTGACGTTAAAGGCGTGCGCGACGCCCGCTCATTGCGACGGTGGCGATGAAGGTGGCGGTGGCCGGGTGCTGCCACGGCGCCCTGGACAAGATGTACGAGACGCTGGAGCTGCTGCAGCGGCGCCACAACGTGCGGCCCGACTTGCTGCTCTGCTGCGGGGACTTCCAGGCCGTGCGCAACGAGGCAGACCTGCGGTGCATGGCCGTGCCGGCCAAGTACCGGCACATGCAGACCTTCTACCGGTGAGAGCCGCCGGCCCGGCCCCGGCCCCCGACCTAACCCACGCAGACTTGGTCGGGTCCAGCAGCTGCCGTGTCTCCGCAGGTACTACTCGGGCGAGAAGAAAGCCCCGGTGCTCACGGTGTTCATCGGCGGCAACCACGAGGCTTCCAACCACCTGCAGGAGCTGCCCTACGGCGGGTGGGTCGCGCCCAACATCTACTACTTGGGTAAGGTCCCTCGGCTCCAGCCTCGGTCTCCCGGCGATTTCCCCCATAGCCCCTGCCCTGCCCGGACCCTCCGTGACCCCCTCCCCTGTCCCGCAGGTTACGCGGGCGTGGTGCGGTTCCGCGGCGTGAGGATCGGCGGCATCTCGGGCATCTTCAAGTCTCACGACTACCGGAAAGGTACCGGGGCAGCTGGGCCCGGGGGGCGGGCAGCGCGGAGGGGAGAGCCGGGGCCGCGGCGTGGTGTGAGGGTCTGGCTGTGCTCAGCCCCGAACCGTCTCTTAGCCTGAAAACCACCCTTGGTTCAATACATGGATTTTTCTGGAGTTGGTAGATGAGTCTGTAGCTGCCCGGTGACCAAAGCAGGAAGCAAGACACCTTTGGAACGTTGTTGGAACGGTGTTGATTTTTCCATGGCAGGTGTCCTTTCAGCATGCAGTGCAACACTGATTTTCCTTGAGTGAGATGGTCAGTTTATAACAGTGACACTATATAAGTGTATTGTTCTGCCCTGAGGTTTAGGGTCAGTACGTCTGGTTCCTCCTGTTTATGTGGGTGTGTATTCAAGAGTTCTTCCTGGGAAAGGTGGCAAAAATTATGTCACAGATGATAACCCATGTTAGTGAGTAGAAGATAGTTTATTTTTTCTGATCTCAGGACTTGAAAGAGTGGTCCTTGTGGTTACTGTACTGTGCTCTCTTTACTAACAAATGGCTTCGGAGAAGCTTTGCAGGTAGCTTTCAAGCTGCAAAGTAACCAGTTTTCTAGAACATTTGTTTCTGTCTAATATCTGTCAGCGCTAATTAAATTTGCTGTCATTAAGGGAGCACTTTATATGCCTGAATATTGCACGAGGGAGATTTTGGCAATAACTAAAAAAGCAATATCTCTGTTAATTCTGTAGAGTATGTAGGAGCTATGCTAGGCATTCATGTTTTTTGTCCCAAGGCAAAGTTGGAAACTCATCCCTTTTTTCAGGGTACATGTTGGTGCTTCCGCAGCCTGTGGTGCCTGTGGGCAGTGACAGGGATGTTTAGGCTGCTGCTGAACCTGTTAAGCTGTAATTTCATGGTGGGTGGCAGCACTCTGCACAATCATGAAAAATCACAGCCTTGTATTTGGCATTACGCTGGGTGCCTGTGTGACCCCAAAAAGCTGCTGTGTAGGAGGGAACTTGTGATTCAGGCAACTATTTTTGTTTTCAACATTTTAGGACACTTTGAGTGCCCACCATACAACCAGCAGACCATTAGAAGTGCTTACCATGTGAGGAATATTGAAGTCTTCAAACTCAAACAGGTCAGTGAAAAGCCTATTTTTTTTAAACAAGGGTAATTAATTTGTCATTAATTTAGAAATAGGAAGTTAAAGCTGGATATTGAACCTAAACATGCTTTAATACGTTGATCAGACATCTGAGGAATATTGTGCTTAGCCATTATCCCTTTTAAATAAAGCTTTTAAAATTTTCATGAGGAAGAAGATGCCTTTGGCTGTGGGCAGAGGACTTGCTCTCTAGCTATGATTTCCTCTGACTGCCTGACTTGTAGTGATGATATGAACTCTTCGATAAGGCAGTATAAAGCACAGGTGGCTGCCTCAAGTAATTGCTAAACTTCTTTGTCAATATGTTGTATTTATGCCATGTGCTTTTTGACCTGACAGCTAAAGCGTCCCATCGATATATTTATGTCACATGACTGGCCAAGGAGCATCTATCACTATGGAAACAAGAAACAGCTCCTCAAAATGAAATCCTTCTTCCGTCAAGAAGTGGAGAGCAACACATTGGGAAGCCCTGCTGCTTCAGAGCTTCTGCAGCACCTGAAACCCACCTACTGGTTCTCAGCACATCTACACGTTAAATTTGCAGCTTTCATGCAACACGAGGTAAAGGGGGACAGAAAATGAATTGGTCCCAGACACACTTTAGAATTATTCTGGTGCAGGTAATCATGTCCAGAAAAGCAATTTAGTGTTTTTTGATCTTAAAACTCAGTTAAAACAATGAGAGATTAAGTGGTGTTAGGACTATTGTTTTATGTAAATGAAAAAGATGTTATGAATGAGGGGTGTAATTCCCTGATCTTCTTCAGGAACAGCATGAATTAGCTGAGGTTATTGTTCTTGAAAGTTGTTAATTTAACTGTATAAAAAAGCACTCCTGCTCTGTTGGGGAGGCAGACAACTTCAAAATAGGTGAACAAAAGGAGACAACTTCAAAAAAGGTGCTAAAGGAGTGATCGAAGAGGGTGGTTACCTGAGGGTGGGAGGATCCCTGTAGCACAGTTTTGCAGGTCTGGTAGCTTGAGCCAAAGCCAAAAACCAGCCTGTAGTTGAAACAGTTATTCCTGAAGTGGTGCCAGTGCTGTTCCCATTTGCAAGTTATTTATCTGTAAAAATGTAACTCCAGACCTTGTAGGCTCAACAAATCTGTTTTCAATTAAGTTACAATTTTTCTTTTTGCTCCAAGGCTGGATTTGCTCAGCTGCCTTGGTTAATGCTGAAATGTAGCTCTTGTTTTATCTTGCTATCATCTACATCCTGTTTCCTGTTAGACTCCCAGTGAAGTCTGTACTTCTCTTTGTCCCTGCTAATTTTTTATTTCAGAAAGTATTTTTCTGTAGAAATTATACCTTTAAATCTGTCTATACAGCTTGTTTAGAGTGGTCAAATTTCACATAAGTGCTAATGATTGTGTTAACGCCATTTGCTTCCTAGACAAACTCCAAAGAAGAGTTACCAAAAGCAACCAAGTTCCTGGCTCTGGATAAATGCTTGCCCCACAGAGACTTCCTGCAGGTGATGAACATGTGTAGAAGGTTTACAATTTAAGTATTTTGTTTGTTTGAACTGCTAGTGCTGTTCTTAGATATAAGATGAAGAATAGTGCTGATAAGTGGAGGGATTTTAAAGAAACTAGGAATGCATGTGTGGAATGGTCTTTGTGGGATTTTTCCTGAACTAAGCAAACTGTGTTGTGTAGGCACAGTGTTTCCTTAATTTTACCATTTCCATCCAGTTGAGAGCAAGTACCTGACTTCATGGATGAGTCTAAAATAGTTTGCTGTGAGAGTGAGCTGCTGACAGTGTGTTTTGAAATACACTCAAGTGTTTCTACGAGTCTTAGAGTGGCTTTTATTTATCATCCCAAGGGGAAGGTGGTTCATGGTCCTCTGGATGTGTGGTGGGATCCATTTACCCTAGTAACTACCTTTGAAGGTGGAAGAGAGAATGAGGATAGGCTCTATCTGTGGAAAGGGATATGAGTCCTAGTCCAGACTAAAATCCTATAACAAAACTGATCTGGATTAGTACTTCCTCCAGAAGATCTTAATTTCAATTCATCATGAAAGAGTTTAAAAACATTTCCTGTTAAATCATAGCTCATAAATCAAGAGTGGGTGTTCCTACAGCAGAATTTGAAATTGACAGTTCTTGTCAATTCTTGGTTTGTATCCATATAGAAGTGTCTTAGTTTGAAAGAGACATGTCTTTCAAGGAAGGTGGGAACCTCCCTTGGAATACAAAATATGACCCCCTACCCTCCAAATTATTATAACTTTGAGATTTTGAGACTTCGAGGCAAAGATAAGAAAAAAGTAATAACAGTTCTTTACTAGAATATATATGTTTAAATCTGGCAGTACTTCTGCCTTTCCCAAGAGAAGCACATGTGCCCCCCCATCTCTCTAAGAGATATAGCAAACTGCACCCCCTCCCTTGTCCTGGCCACATCATTTGTCTCTCTTAAGTGTCTATTGTTCCGGTCTCTTTGAAGAACTCCTAACCTCCAACAGAAGCCAGCATGAATTTAGGATCAGGCACATTCTATTTCTAATTTGCCTCACTATCCCAGCTGCTGGAAGTAAGGGAGGGAGTGTGTTCTGCTTTTTAATTGCTGTAAGCTGAAATTCAGAAATGTCTTTTTTGCTGTTACTGATTGTCCTTTGTTAGCCCCTTATAGGGAGCTGGCTTGAGAGGACTTGTTTTGAGACCACTAGCTCAGTGTACTTTAAACTTCATTAAAGCCCTGTACAGTGAAAGTAGCATTTGAAACTTTAATCAGATTGTCGTATCAAGAGAAAAAACTCACTACATCTGTTTGCTGTGTGTTTTTAAGTAGATAATAGACGTGGAACATGATCCCAATGCAGGCGACTCACTGGAGTATGATGCTGAGTGGATTGCAGTCCTCAAGGCCACCAACAGTCTTGTTAATGTGACCCAGAGCTCCTGGAATGTGCCTGAAAAGAATGGCCTCTATGCCAAGTAAGTTCTCTGCAAAATAGAGATGAAAATGAGGGGTTTTTGTTTTTTTTTCTGGGCTGGAAGTAAAGTTATACTGGAGAGAGATGTGTTTCTGTTCTGCAGCCTGTAATGCCTGTAGGACTTACTAAACGCCTTGGAAAGAAAAGAGGATGTTGACAAAAGATGTAGTCTAAAGCATACAACTTCTTTACTGCTCTACCTGGGCAGTTAATTTTATTTTGCAAACTTAGATACCAGCATTTGAGGAACAGAAACTACACCATGAGGCTGAAAAACAGGCTGGGTTATGGGTGTGGGTTGACATAATACACTAATCCTTGGTGGGGAGATGGGTGTCTCAGTACTGACCAAAAGAAAATTAAAACCTTCCTGCAAAAGCATTTGAGGAATAAAGTGTCTGTTGTAAAATGAATTTATAATCCATCTTTGAAGGTTACACTCTGCGGTGGGAGCCTTTTGACTTGCTGCGCTTGTTTAAACTTTATGCACTTTTTTAGGTGGGATTACAGTGTGACAGAAGAAGCCATTAAAGAGGTGTTAGAAGAGCTGAACAATGACCTCAAAATTCCTTGCAACTTCACACTGACAGCTGCTTGTTACGATCCCAGCAAGCCCCAAAAAAACATGGAGCCAGTTCATACCATCAATCCACAGACCACTGAGTTCTGTGCCCAGTTTGGCCTCACTGACATAAATGACAGGATCCAGCAGGCTAAAGAAGAGAGCTCAGGACGAGGTGAATGTGAAGAGGAGGACGAAGAGGAGATGGACAGTACTGGGTCAGCAGAGGAACCCAGTGAATACAATACAGATAATTCTGGCCTGTCATGCTTTAATCCAGATGAAATAATGCTGGATGAAGAAGGTGGTGATGAAGACTTGAGTACATGCTCTGTAGATCCCTCCCCTGATCACCCTCCTGAGTTCTCTACGAGCTTCTCTGACATCCGGATCATGCCAGACTCCATGGCGGTGTCCTCTGATGATGCCATGGACTCCAACAACGAGGAGCTGGAGAAGTCTGGTGGGAGCAAGCAGGTAGAGGAAAAGAGCTCCACTGAGAGGTCATTAAAGCGCATCGGTGGTGATGAAAATGGGAACGGTGGTGTTAAAAAAATCAGGAGAAGGAACCAAGCTATCTATGCTGCAGAGGATGAAGATAAAACAGATTAATACTTCACAGGGTGTGTAGCTAAGTTCTCTTCCAGCCTTTCTGTGGGAATGTGGTGAGAATTTTAGTGGACTGTGCGTGCTTTTAATGTCACATGATCTTAGTCATGTTACTTTCTCAAGCTCAGAGACTGGATGTACTTCTCACAGGGAAGGTGATTTAGAATAGACATCAAAGGAAGAAGCTGAGACTTTTTCAACAAAGAACTTTGTCAAAGGATGTAAAGCTCATATATCCTTGATTTTGTTTCAGTTCTTGGTGTATGGTGTATACTCCATATCTTCAGCTGAACAAGACTCACCATGCTTGTTTAACAAGAACTCTTAAACTGTAGCCTGAGTCCAAGTGAGAGGATGTCTGACTTCCTAGACTAAGTGATTTTATTTTATTGCTTTTGTCTTGTTTTATACTGAACTATTAATACACTATAGCATACGCAATAACCCTATGAATGATATTTGAAAATAGAATTCCCATTATAACAAAACAGCAATAGAAGAATGAAGATTTTTGTTTCTGGTGATAGTTATGCCACAGAAAAACCTTGTGGTCATAAGCAAAACAATATGTATTGTCCAGGATTAGCTTTTAATTACAGTTCTGATAGTAAACCAAGTTTCTTGATTTGGAATATGACCGTTTTATGGGGACCATGGAAGACTGCCTCTCTATTCTTAAAAACTCACTTTTGTTCTGTTTCTTAAATGGTGAGAACAATGTCTTAAAATGGAAGTAGTTAGGAAGGACAACTTTCTAAATGTGCATACCACCACTGTCTCAACTCTGATTAATCAGGGCTGTGTTTTGCATTCATACAAGGTGATGGGTGTGTAAGTTGCCTGAGACAATAACACCTCCCATTTTCATTAGCATCACTTTTCACTTGTCATTTCTGTAGCTGTAACTTGCTGAACTCTTAAAACTGGATTTGGAATCTTCCAAAGCACCTTTGTAATCTTCAGCTGAGTGAGAACAGGAGCTGACAGAATAGAGACCCTCTTTGAAGTTTTCTGTTTATTTTTTTTGCCCTGAATTATTAAATGGCACTCCTTTGGCCTAAGAGGCCACAGGGACAAAACTGAGTGAATTCATGAAAATGACAATGTTTTCAAGCATATATCATTAGATTCATTAGCCTTCCTGACAGATGGAATTCTTAGATGGAATTCCTCATGGCCATGCTGCCCCAAGAGCAGAAGGAAAAGCTCCCGTGTTTTTCCTCCCCCAAGGCATAGGCAGTGTGAAGGAGAAAGCATCCTGACAGGAACAGGGAGCTGGATAGGGAGCAGTGAGTGAAATGCATCTGTGAGTTGTGTATCAGACTCGGGAATTCTGTCTTTAAATCACTTCCATGGTATGGGGTTCATCTTGCTTCCTCTCCGGTCAAGCAGTTCACTACAAAAACTAAACACCTTAAATATTCAAGGGCTAGAAAAGGGCATAATTAATGCTCTCAACAGTTCAATTAACAGCTCATCTGTCAGAACAGCTGCCAAAAGAGCTGTGCTTAGGTATGAAGAGAAATTGGGAGTAACCCGGGTGTGACACTCAGGGTGTGTAAAATGGTTTTGAACTGTCAGATAATTTATTGAAGCAGATGTGTCTTTTTAAGGGTCCTGGGTCTGCAGTGGTAAAATCTTAATCATGCCTCATGATCTGAACACTATAATGGAAATAAAGTATTTTAAATACAAATTCTGTTATGGACTTGAAAAGCCTCCCAAGGAACCTGAGCATGATATTGTGCTCTCAAGGTTTCTGCACTGGAATAGAAGATGTATCTTGCATGACTTTTCAGTCTGATTCCTTATGTTTTTAAAACAAACGGTTCTGTCCTGTGTTGTCCCGTGCCTCCCACCCTTCAGATAAATGTGTTTCTAAAAGGCACGAGTCTTGGACAAGATACAATATTGATTTTTGAACCTTTAAATACTTTCTAATGAAGTATTTCGGTGTCCATTGAGCAGAGTGCAGCTGGTAAATACAGTGAACATAAATGTTTTCGAGTGTGAATCATATCTGACCTCCAGAGGTGACCTTTCTTGCAGTCGTTTGCACCCTCTTTGCAGTTTGCGGTGTCCTCCCCTGTCTTGCTTTCATCCATTATGGATTTTCCCTGTCGGCAAGATTCTCTGCTGCAAGGAGGATTCAGTAGAAGCTGAGCTTCCTCAGTAAAGGCCAGATATTTCAAATAGTATCGAAAACTCTAGGGAATGCTTACACATTTCAACTTGCTTTTAAGACTTAGAGTCTCCAATCCTTTTTAAAAAGAAGATTTAGAGTATCTCTGAGAACTTTTGAAATTTTTATGAGAAACCTATGGAAAACGTTTCTCTGTACAACTCTTGTATTGCATTTTTTTTTCAGTGTCTGTAATGAGTCTAAAATGGTTTTTGCTGTTACTAGCACTTGGGAAAAGTGTTCACCTGTTCCACCTGTTCCCAGGCCAGCACAGAGGTATTTTCACAGCATGTCATCAGTCTGCTCAGAGAAAAACAGTGAAGAGGTATAGCCTTGTTTCATAATGGAGTAATTTTAAATTAAAGCTATTAAAGTCATCTTGTGAGTGCTTCCTAAGATATGTTTATTGTACTCATGTTATCCTGTGCAATCTCTAGCAGCTGCAAAACCTCCGTTTTCTTAGGAAGGGCATTGATTGAGAGCTGTGAACCCGAGCTGTGATGTTTCTGCTATTTTTTTGTGGTTTTACCATCCTCCTCCCATTTAGTTGACTTCAGCGTGGGTACAGTCAGTGTCCCCATGCCTCAGGCTGTATAATACATTGGGGCTAATAAAAAAAAATAGCAGATCTTATGGAACCTGTAGCACATCTTAGTGAAGTCCTGGATTGTTTTCTGTGAAAAACAAATTCAAAACCAAAGAAATCAATGCTGGCAACAAAAGCCAGCATTGACAAACTAAAGGAACCCAAGCCATTTCTGCTCAGCGAGGCTGAGGGGAAGGCGGGCTTGGGCTCGTTTCGGTTCGGGTTCGTTTCGGTTCGGGCTTGGACAAAGGCTCGGCAGGCTGCAGCTCGTGCTCGGCTGCGCTTGGGCTCGTGTTCGGCTCAAGTTCGGATCTGCTCGGGCTGGGCTCGAGTCGGGCTGGGCTCGGCTCGGGCTCATTTTCACTCGGTTTCTGGCTCCAGTCTGCTCCGCTCGGCTCCATTCGGTCTCCGGCTCGCCTCGTTTCCGCTCGGCTTCCCTCGGCTCCACTCGGTCTTCGGCTCGGCTCGGATCCGCTCGCCTCAGGCTCGCGTTCGGCTCGGGCCGTCACTCTCCGCGGCCCGCGCCGGCCGCGCCCTACCCCGCGCGTGCGCACAGCGGGCGCCGTTCCGCACGCGGGTGGTGTGCGGCGGCGCAGGCGCGGTGGGGCGGCAGCGGGGGTTCGGCGCCGGCCGGCTCGCTGGGCCCGCCCCGCTACCCCCGGCCCCCGCCCGCCGCGCGCCCGCCATGAGCCCGCGCCCGCCGGCCTGAGGCGCCGCCGGTGCCGGAGCGCTCCGCCAAGATGGCGTGTGTGCTGGAGGCGCCGCTCCGCATGAGCGTTCTCTCGGTAAGTGCCGCGGGCCGGGCCCTGCGTGACCTTGGCCCCCGCTGGGCCCCTCTGTCCGGCGGCGCCGGGAGCGGCCCTGGGGCTGCGCCGGGAGCGGAGGCGGTGCGGGCGGCGGGGCCGCGCTCCTTCCCTCTGTTCCCCGCGCCGCAACTTCTCCCGGCGCCGGTTTTCCCCTTACGAGGATCCCGTTCCGTGGCTGCGGAGGCACCGGCGCTCTGGACGTGTCGTTCGCTGCTGACACGGCTCGGGCTCGCCGGCCCCGAGCAGCTGCTGCTCGGCACGCGGAGGGCCCTGGCGCTGTCGGCGCTGCCCTTCCTCAGGGGCTGCGGAGTAGGGCTGGCGCTCCCAGGTGGGCTCGCAACCCGCCCCGATTCGGGGACTGTGCCGCTGCCGGAACCGGGGCTCTCTCCTCGCAGCGTCCCGGCTCCTGCGGCAGGGAGGAGCCGCCGTGCTGCGGGAGCCTCTGACAGCCGCCTTCCCTTCCCCGGGGACGGCCCAGGGCGCGCAGCGGTCCTGCTGCATCGCACGCGTGCTGGGAGCAGCGACGCAAAAGGTGCAGCCCTGGTGCTCCCCTAAGAGCGGAGGGTTGGCGCTTTTCCTTCTCTTTGAAAAATTCGTGTTGGTTAAGAGATCCGTGAAACTGATTATGTCGATAAAAGAAGACTTTTTTGGGGGAGGACTGCCTGCATGTGAATACCCTTCTACGTATTGCAGACCTCGTAGCTGGTGGTGTGGAAGCCAGGATATTTTAGAAACAGAAATCTACGGGATATTTGAAGTCTAGAAGAGTTTTACACGTAAATACATAGGTCAGATAGCTAAAAGTCTGTTGCGGTTCTCAAAAATGCTGTCTTTGGTTGCACGGTGGAAGTGTATCTGTAGGATTTATGTGGCATAATTTAATAGTGTTTCTGGAGACAAAGGAGCCCTGCTGCCTCTAGATGATTCTTCTCTGTGATGTGAGACCACAGGCAAGAAGCTGCTGGTGCCTCTCGACATCGAGGTGGGGAAGCAGGGGTAGATTCAGCCCCATAGCATATACTTGCTAAAGCAAGGGAGAGTTTTCAATTCCCTTAGAGCTTCTCTCAAGGAAAATTCATAAGGAAAAAATGGGCAAAGCTTAATGAAAAGAGAGCTGGTGAAAAGAAAAAAAGGTGAGATAATGGAAACACACCTTGGCAAGTGTTCGTGAGAACCTGCAGGGAAAATTCCCTTCGCCTTTCCCACCCTTGTATTTTGGAATGCTCGCCATCTCCGACTTTGGATCTTCTCAAAAGGAATAACAAATCAGTGGTGCATAAGTGTGTAGCTTACAAGCATGGTCCTGTTGCCGAGAAGAGAATTTGCTTTGTCTTATACAGCACTATGAGAATTTTGTGGGCAATACTGTGCTGCTGTCCCATTGAAGGTGTGTGGCAAAGGCTTTGAAATGTAGATATGTTGTGGCAAAGTAAGTTAAAAAAAAATGTCTTGTTAGGAGCTTCCCTCTTTTGGAGAGCTTGTTTGTGGGTATGATTCTTGAGCAACATTAACTGCTCTTTGGAACTTTTTCTTCCAGGTTTTTTTATTCTATATAGTAATTAAACATAATAAAATTGCGATTCAAGGCAGTGCTGATAACTGCAGTTCATAAATATCTCTCTGTTAACTTGCTTTGACAGTTACCATGTTGTCATCTACGTTAAGCACCTCATCTTCTCTAGATTACACTTGAACACAGTGTTATCTTTGTGTGATGTTGCCCAGCAGTAACGCACTGCACATTTAAATATAATTCTTTGGGTTCCCTGCCTCTTGCCTGGGAAGTTTTGTAGACTTGCTGCTGCATAAGCCATTGTATGAATTGATATAAATTATTGCAATTGTTTGCTCTCTCTCTGCAGGAGGTCACAGCCAGTAGCCGCCACTATGTCGATAGATTGTTTGATCTCGATCCCCAAAAAGTCCTGCAAGGTGTCATGTAAGTCATTGAAACACTCTTGGGCTCTTGGTTGTGCATAGGGCAGGTGTACTTGATCCTACTAGAGTGATAGGTCAAGGGCAAGAAACTCTTCCTATGTTTT